CTTAGACGAGAGATGAATACCTTGGTTCCCCTTCAGGGAGTAATTGTAAAACGGTTGCTGCCTGTCCTCGCAACGACACTATCAATGAAACCGTCATCTCTTTTTCAGCCCAGCCATTGGCTCTAGCTGCAAATTGGAGTCGATACGTTTTCCATATTGTCTGATCATCAAACGTGGGTGGGTTAATGATATTGCTAGTATGGCTTTGTGAAACTGGGTTTTGGATATGGTTTGGTTCGGTTAAATATGAGGACGAGATAGTGTTTTCAGTTTTTCTGTTGCTTACCGAAGCTAGGCTACGAATTCTTCTTTCTAGCTCAACTAATTCAGTTCTAATTTGCCTTTCTAACTCTACTCTAGCTGTTTCATGTTGTTTTAAATAAGTTTTTAAATTCTCTTGTTGTGCTAAGAGATCTATTCGACTCTTCAGCAGATCTATCTCTTGTCTGAAGTTTTCATGAATTTGTAGCAAACCATTCATAATTTCTACCTCTGCTTTCCTACGCTTCTTCTCCTTCTCTTTTACCTCGTCCTTTCGGCGCCTTTCCTTTTCCTCTACTTCTTTTTTCCGGCGACTTTCCTTTTCCTCCTCTTCTTTTTTTCTAAGCATGTCTTTTTTCTCTTCTTCTTCCTTCCTGTGCCTTTCCTTCTTCTCTTCTTGCCTTTCCTTTTCCTCCTCTACTTTCTTCCTACGCCTTTCATTTTCCTTTTCCATCTTCAAAAACCATGCTGGGGGATCTGAAGTATCCATGCCTGTTTTGTACTTAGTGGATTCAGTATTTACCAAGAATTTTTATTTTGGATCACCCCGCTGTCACCAATTTATTTCGAATTTTACAATATTCAACTATACAACTGATAATATGAACGCCCATAAAAATGACTCCCTGACGTCAGGATTATCGAAATATATAGCTCGCTTTAACGTTCTAGAACCTTCTCGAACTATCTGGATTTTTCTTGACAAAAGATGACATTTCCAGACATTTCTGGACTATTCTATCTTCTTTTTTTCTTTACTTATGACGACAAAGTATATCACTTTTCGCCCTAATACACAAATAGCTATTACAGACTGTGTGAAGAGAATAATAATAATAATAATAATAATATACGGAGTTTTAAAATTATTGAAAGTGAGTAAATGGAGATCAAAGCACTATTAGATGAAACTGCCTAATCTTTAGGTATAGATAGATGGTGGTATCAAAAATGAATAATTTTAAGAAATAGACAATTTTGGCACGCAGAGAAATATTTTAAAATAATAATATTTGAAAAAAGATTGTTTTGAAATTTTGTTGGTCAGGCAACTCTGGCATTGAGCCACTCAATTGAACAAATTAATGTCATTATACAGTTTCACCAGTTTCCACAAGTTCACAACCAGTTTCCACACAAACACGCAGTTGCTCGAACGCTTGTTAAATATCTCAATACTACGAGTAATTTTTAGAAAATTGAGAAAGAAATTATAGGAAAATAAAACATTTTTCTTTTCCTCATTAATTGACCTATTTATTTATTAAGTTTTTGATGAAGTTTTTGTTTGTCAATTTTTGGTTTTTTGATTATGTAAATTGCTCAATGGACTGATCAATAAATTGTTAGAAGTTATAAGGCGCACTTAAAGGACATGTGATTTAACGAATTTAGTTTTTTTATTCTAAATACCCAATATACATCTAATGTGAAAAGGAACATCTTATATTCGGGGTCACCCTGTTTAGCTCCAACTTTTGAATTCATTGTATGGGTACAATTTAATTTTTGGAAAGATAGTTTTTTCCACAAGTTGAAAGTCTTTAATCTTATAAATTTATTTTCGCAAGATAAACAAAAATGGAAAATTTTATTAAAGATTAAAAACAAAGAATTGTTATCCTTACACCCTGTGAGTAGATAGAATGAAGTAGAGACGATATAAATACTATTTTGTGATATGACAGATGGACGCACTTCGAGTGATAAAAAAGTGGCGACTTAGAGTAGTACTTTGATTTATTTGAAGTAAATAATTTTATATTTAAAGATTGCCGAATGAAAATGATTTTATATCATTTAAATGAAGCTACTTTAAAAAATGGTCTTTATTCTCACCAAAACTGACTAGCTTAACCAGCTCGAATTTGACATATGGCGTAAAAGTGTAATGCAAAAGGTGCGGACATTTTTAGTATCGTCATATAGCATCTCTTCTTTATTCTATCTCAATGGTAGGAAGATAGCCAACTTTTTAATAAACAATTAAAACAAACAAATAAATAAGCACGAAACACAGAAAGAAGCAGTAGTGATAACGTATACGTTGCGTAGGGTCAAAGAGTTACGAACCCTAAAAACCACGTTTTTAGGATATACAAACAATATATTGGGATATACTTATCAGTTTTCAGATGTTTTTAATTTCTTAAGAATATCAATATAAGGTTTTATTATTAAATATATTAGACCTATGTCAATGACCTATGTTTATTTTTAAATCCAAGGTGGTTACAGTAATACCGAAACTACTGAACATACCGAAACTATTACAAATAGCCTGACAAAAAAATGTAACGTTACCTCGTAGTTTCAGTTTTTCCTTACATATTTTGAAACTTTTTATTGGAGAATTTCATATATATTTTAAATTTTAACCATTTAAAAGATGGGTATATGTTTGGGCTATAAGACAAGGCCACCGAAAAAAAGAAGACGCAAGCGGAATAACATAACATAAAATTAATGTTTGTTTGTTAGCATCTTTCGTTAATTTGTTATAATTCAATATTAAATTCAAAATGCCGATAGTGATCAGTGAGGTAATGTAAAATTACATAAATGAGACTTATTTTCATTATATTTATATTTGTTTGCTGCATTGTTGTCAGGATAACTTAAGTTCTTTAATTAGGTCTGTCACTACCGATTTTGTCAGGCCAATAGAAGGGCCAGGTCTAAAAAGTATTTGGTTGGCTGCTTTCTTGGCTAGTGAATCAGCAAGACAGTTTCCTTTCGATGTGGCGTGACCTCTGATCCATCTTAAGGTGACCACATTGCTGATGGATACTTCGGCCAAAGCTTCGTGACATTCTAGTACTAATCCTGAGAAAATTCATGGTCTATTCAGGGTAAGTAGTGCTTGTCTGCTATCTGTATAGATGAGCATGTTCCTTCCAGTGATATTGTTTCTGGTTATTTCTTTTGCTTCTATGAGAATCCCCCGTTAGCTCTATTTGAACTACACTTGCACTATTGCTCACAGCCCATTTTATGTTTAGTATATTCTACATCCTGCGTCTTGTTTTGTTTTAGAGCCGTCAGTGCAGATATGAATCGTACCTGCCACTTCTGGTCTTCTATTTGTTCTATTATAACTTTATATGGCTTAGGGAAGATATAACTCGGTGAGATGGAGTCCATGTTCGCTTGAAGCAGTGGGAGCGTATCGAGCGCCTCCTACCAAAAGCGACGTTTCGTCTCACCAGATCCTACATCAGGTTCTATTCCAACTGTGCGGAGGCGTGTCATTGTCGTCAGAGCAACCTCCTTGATGTAAATATCAAGGGGAGTAAGACATGGCTCCTATTATGTTGAGCCATGCTGTTCTTTGAATTTGTTCTAGTTTACGGATAGCTGTTAATTTTTAGGTTTTTGGTATCCAGACAACTGCACCGTATGTTAGCATAGGTCTTATGATAGCCATGTAACTCTATGCGATGACTCTGTGGGAGAAACCCCAGGTGCGCCCCACGGTTCAGCGGCATTATTCATAAGCAATGTGTGCTCTTTTAACTCTGTTTTCTAAATGCGAGTTCCATGTTAACTTGCTGTCAAATGTGAGACCTAGGTACTTTACCTCTGTTGCAAAGTTTAGTTTTGTGTTTAGGAGTTCTGGAGGTTTTAATTTCATTTTCATCCTTTTTCTTGTGAAAAGGACCATTTCTGCCTTCTTAGGATTGATAGACAGTGAATGGTCCTTGCACCAATGTTCTATAATCTTTAGAACTACTTGCATTCTTTCACAGAGTATGTTCTTAAAATTCCCTGTTTGCAGAATGACCAGATCATCTGCATATGCTATTGTGTAGTGACTGTCATTATTGAGGCGGTTGATAAGGGTGTCGAGGACCATCCACATCCCCTCGCAACCAAGCCTCTTAGAGAATGATATCACTAACAACTCTTATTCATTACCTTCTTCATTCATTTTCTTCTTCTTTATTCATTTTTTCTTCTTCTTTATTCATAAATAACAGAAATATACCTAAAGGTAGAGAAACGATCCGCTATAATGTACCTTCCAGATGCTTGGACTATGCCCAAAATCTAATCAGTTGCCGCAGGAAGGATTAAAGCTTATGTTTAAAATTTATTTTTGAAACTATTAGTCTTCATATTTGAAACTAAACTAAAATGTTTATGTCAAAATTAATGACATAATTGTTTCTTTTTGCTTGGAACCTTGGCGGAGTCATCTCAGCTCAATGACAGAGACAAAGGTTACAAAACCTTTACAAAAAATAGTCGTGTAACGGGTACGTCTGTATGGTGTAAAAAGTATCAGATAGCTACTATCGCTTTCTACATAAACTAGCACCAATCGATAAAACTACCCCCCTCAGTTTTTATAGAAAAAAGGTTGGCATATAATGGCTTAAAGTTATTTCTACTCTTTGTTTTAATCGGACGCTGACAAACGAATGAAGTTGAGATACTAGATCTATTTTAAAGATATATGAACTTTTTGCTTTATTTTTTTTATAAATTTTTGTTATTATAATTATTTTGCAAAGTTGAAAAGATAAAATTAGTAGAGGTGGAAATAGGGATTGCTTTAAGACCGTTTGAAATATAAGATAACAATAATATAATAAAATATGATAAAATAAATGTAGTTAATTGGTGTAAATTTTATACCTGCAAAGTAACTGAATCCGTTCCTGATCTGCCAGGAATCATTATAAATAATCGTAGAGATGTTAAATTTACTTTAGTTGTGAAAAACTAAAATCAAGATGCAAAAATTAGCTTTGTTTGCTGTTGCTTTCTGCGTTGTGGGAGTAGCTTTGGTAAATATGAATTATCTTTTTTATATTTTTATACATATTCTGCATTTATTCTTCATGTATCTAATTGTTGCCAATGGAAAAAATAAACAATAATAGAAATTAATGTTAGTAGGTATGTGAATAAGTTTATATGAAGATTGCTATATATGAAATTGAAATACAGAGTGTTACCTAAATATGCGACACAAATTCAAGAGGATATTCCTTTAAGGCGTTAAAGTTTAAAAAAAACACTGTCTAAAAAATTCTTAAGCTGATTTCATATTTTTTTTTTTACCAAAAATAGTGTTAATCCAGAAATTCCCCCATTTGGAATATTACACAAAAAATATTAACGCCCAGTAGATTTTTGTAAATTTCATAATTTTTTGAATAAAAAAAACTAAAAAATGCAACTTTTCTGATTTTTTTTTCCTTTTGTTCTTTAAAATTCAAACTTTTTTACGCTTCTAAAGCAACTAAAAATACAACTTAATTAGTAATGGCCTCTTAATTTTGTGCAGTGTGTTTAGAAATACTGAGTAAAAAGGTGTACTATAATTCAAGATGAATGGTCCTATTTAAATGCTTTGTTGTGTTTGTATATCTGCAAGTCTTGTTTTGAAATTCTAGTAATACTTGTTCAACAATAGCTAATAAGCATTGCTTCAAGATTAAAATCAACTTGCCCTAACTAAAATACCTCTAATTAAATGAAGAGTATCTATTTCTCAATTGCAGTATTATGTACACATCTTAAATGAAAGTCTTACACTTTTTTAAATATACTTTATTTATATTCAATAATACCTTGTTCTTAAATCCAATACAACCAAATTTGTTACAATAATAATATGAACTGTTCCAAGAAATGTTAATATTGGCTTTGACGTAAATAAATTGATTTTGGCTGAATTATAGGATAGTTTTCTTGAAGAAATTAATAATCTTAAAATAAGAACAAGCTGTTGTTGCTTTTTAATAGGGCTCTCACTGGTAATTATCCACCGAAAAACATTTTTTAAAATTGTTTTTAGTTAATGTACCAAATTCATCTGTCCTGAGGTGTCCCACCTATAATTAAAAAAAAAAAAAATAATTTTATAACTACAAAACCTAAATGGAACATAAAAGTTTGTCCTTCTAAGATAAGAGATCGTATCTACAAAAATGAATATTTTTAATAAATGTGGCTGGGTAGGTAGATAATTAATTACGTCGTTTTAGACTTCGCAAATAAATTTTGCATATTTAACTAACCTTTTCTTATAATTATAGAAAATATTTTCTAATGCAAATAGGCGTTTATTATTTTGTGTCATTACATAAGTCGTCTTTCCAAAAAGTCGTCATCCAGCATCATACATTTTTTTTACTTCTATGCCAGTTTGTTTCGTGTTCTTATGATTATAAATTTACTTATAAATAATATAATACCTAACAGGAAGTGAACTAAATATACTTACATTTAAATATTGGTATCAGGTCGCTGAGGCCTCATCAATCTAATAAATCTTTCATTTCAATTTAATGTATTCATACACTTAATAATTGAATCACAAAGAATTTGTAACAAAAAGTAGAACGACAATAGGATGAACACGTGCTAATGCCAATTTGCCAGATTCTCTATAAATGCATTGTGTCTCTGACTTCCGAATAATAAGTATCACATCTCAACATGTACTAGTCATTATATATCTACCGCACCAGTGCAGTGGTTGCATTTTAAAATAAGTTTCAGCTGGCAACATCGTGCAATGAATTTGTACTCGCTAATCTTTTGTGAAGTACATAGGTTTTTGATTCGAATTGTTTAATTCTTGTTCTGAAATTTAAATGCTTTGAATAGAATCCTTTTAAAACATTGAATCGAGTACGCGATAGTCGGTTTTAAGAGCATATCACACTAACAATAAACGTAAGAGCTTTCTTGGACTAATTAACAATTCTAGACTCGAATGAAATAATTTATTCTCAGATTAATTATTATAAATCTTAAAATACAAGATTATGCCTACACTTCACTGAACATTTATTTTCTTATTGTATCGAGAAATATTATTTGAAGCAAACTCTGCTTTATTTCAAACAAATGTAATCTTCCAAGCTTTTCTTAAATGCAGATGATATATTTTTGTGTACCTATCCTGTTGTCCACTATTTCTTCTTCTTTATTTGACTAAGATTTCTTCGTTTGTCCTCCTCTTTTCTGTTGTTGTTTGTCAGATATATTTTCATCTTTTTGGTGGTCTTCAATATTTCTAACTTAATCTTTTCCATTATTTATACAAGTTGGTACCAATTTTTTCTTCTTGTTTTATCACAATTGTTTACATCGGGTTGCCAAACTCTCTCTTGCCATAAGAAATATGAAAAATTATTTTATATAAAAGTTATACGGTTTACTTTTTTGCATATTTCTAAAATACTATGAAATACATAGAGTGTTTCGTTACATCTTCTCTCTCCAATGTCACTCTGGGTCGACCAGGCCCGACCTTTACACAACACTGCCCGTTTCCTGGAAAAAAGCCACTATGCGCCGTGAAATATTCAGATAACCCGCAATCTGGTTATTTAACAAACCGTCTTGACGTAAGGCCACTATTACTGTCCGGTCATTCTAAAAAATTGGACGACCTGGCATTTTACGACAAATCTACTTGATTCTTTAATACTCGATGTCAGCTTATAACTGATTTTTTTTCAAAACGCATATTTTCGGAAGAAAACAATTGTTGGTTTACATTTTGTTATTTTTATGTATGATGAAATAATGAAGAATGTATACACAAAAAATAGTCACCTTACATTGAACGCGGTAAAAGATACCAAGGGGGACCAAGATATGTGTGTATTTCTTAATTAAATTAAAATACAAATTTTCTCACCGACGGGATTCGATCCTTGGATATGAAAGTTGTAACGTGATACTTGTTATTTTATCTACAGTGAAACCTGAGTAAGCCGGAACCTGTGTAACACGGAATCCTGTGTATGACGGAAATTTTGGCGATTACCTACATATTGTAATGTAAAAATTGCTTATAAGCCGGAACCCTGTCTAACGCGAACACGGAATTTCCCTAATCTGTTAAGCCGGAACCTACTTATGTTATTGCTTTGCAGGTATAAAAGAATTTATAGATGTTTACATAATTAGTTTATGATTTCGGAAAGCCCCATAATAAGGGCGAACTATTATCAATACTTAGAACCATTATCACAGAAATTTAGGTACAAAAGCAGTAAATACACAAATAAACCAGTATTGTGTAGGTACGGCAGTTTGAGTTTATCCGTGAAAGAGCAAACATTTCAAAATGGCAAACCGAAAAACGAATACATTATCGCTAAAATCTAAAATGGACTTAATTAAATGTAGTGACCAAAAAAAACTTACTCCAAAGCAATTGGTTATTCAATTTAAGTGCGGAAAAACGCAAGTGTATGAAATTTTGAAAAACAAGGAAAAAATTAAAGAAGAGTGGATGCGTGGTGGTAATGGCGATATTAAGAGAAAGCCAAAGGAATCACATCACGACGACGTAAATTCAACAGTTTTGGAATGGTTTATGGATGCAAGGTCTCGCAATCTTCCTGTATCTGGAACAATTATTCAAGAAAAAGCAAGAGAAATTGCAAACCATTTTGGAAAAGTAGATTTTAAAGCTTCGAATGGATGGCTGGAAAGTTTTCGAACACGACATAACATAAGATTTAATCAGATCTGCGGTGAAGCTAAGGACGTCGACATGGAATCTGTGACTGAATGGACATCGCACATTACAGATTTAATTAAAGGATATACCCTAAAAGACATTGCTAATTGTGACGAAACTGGCCTTTTTTATAGAGTGCTGCCGGACAAGACAATGTGCTTTAAAGGTGAAAAATGTCAAGGAGGCAAACAATCTAAAGAAAGGTTAACCGTTTTGTTTTGCGCCTTTGCTGACGGAAAAATAGAAAAACCTCTAGTTATTGGAAAATCCCTCAGACCGCGATGTTTTAACAATACCAATGTGCCTCAGCTACCAGTTTATTGGCGAGCAAAGCATGGATGACATCAGTTCTTATGGTACAGTGGCTAAAAATTTTAAATCAAAAAATGAAATTTGAAAATCGACACATCCTTCTATTTTTGGATAATGCAACGTGTCACCCCAAAATAATACTATCCAATATAAAATTGTGTTTTCTACCACCAAACACCACAAGTCAAATACAGCCTCTCGATCATGGAGTTATACAAAACTTCAAAATGCATTACAGAAAACAAGTGCTGCGGTCAATTATTGCGAATATGAGATTTTCTCAATCAGCAGGAGATTTGGCTAAAAAAATATCAGTTTTGGATACTATCAGATGGATTGATTATTCAGTAAAAAATATTAAACCTGATTGTGTTAAAAAATGTTTTGCGGCATGTGGAATCAAGCAAGATGGAGACGTTGACCTAATCGAAAATGTTGACGAAATTGACGAAAGTACAAAAGAAGTCGAAGAGTTAATTACTGAAATTAATCCCGGTTGTAATGTTCATGATTACATCACATTAGATGAAGCCGTTACAACAAATGCTGGATTTCAGTCCATAGAAGAACTGGTGTTAGAAAAAACTGCCGTGGAAACTACTGTGGCAGACGATAATGATGGGATTGGAATTGGTAAGCGATTTTTCTAATTCTCTAAAAAAATAAACAACTTTTTATTTATTCTTTCCATCTTAATTGGGCATTTGGCCAAGTAGAAATAAAGTTAAAATACATAATAAAAATAAAATAGGAAGATTTCAGTTTCCATCACAAAAATAACAGATAGAAAAAATTATTTTCCCATTAGCTTTTCAAAACGATCTGTTCTTAAATTAATATTTTTATCTACAGGAACAGAAGTTGAAGAATCCGATCGGATAAAAAATTTTTCTGAAGCTTTGAGGAGTGTTGCAGCGTTAGATGATTTTTCCCAAAGAATAGAGAGCGAACGAACCGATGAGAAAGAAGATTTTAGAATTAAGG